TGAAAAAAATTGATTATAAGAGCAATAGACTAATGATTTGTATTGTGAATACTAGTTTGATTGCCATTGGATGGGCTGTAGGTCATAATGACTCAAATGGACACAGATTAGTAGTATGATTTGGAACTAAAGTTTTAAGTATTCACCAACATGCATATTCATAGTTGAAAAGGGAACTATGGGGAGTTGTTTCAGCTATAAAAACTAAAAAGGATTATTTGATAGGAGCTATGATGGTAATTGAAACAAATTGTTTGCTTTTACTTGGAATGATAACCAATTGTACTATACCAGATATTGCGATGTTGAAATGGATTGCTTATATCAAATCACTAAATCTAAAATTTAGGCATGTTGTAAAGAAAGACAATCTGGTAGCAGATATGTTATCTCGAGCAGTATATGAAAGAAAAGATGAGATGGTTGAAGATATTGATGATGATGGAACAAAATTCTATTCAATATCAAATCTTAATAAAGAAGACAAGTTGTTTTTTGAAGAGCTTTATGAAGGAAAATTACTAAAAAATTGGTCTTTATTTGAATACCTTGACTAAGTAAGAAAATTGATCAATAGAAAAATTTAATCAAATAAGAAAGAAGGCTTATGGATTTTTGCTTCAAGAAGGGTTTTTATGGAAGAGACCAAAAAAAGAAATTGGAATGCCAAGACGAATAGTAGGTACTAAAGAAGATCAACAAAGACTACTTAAAGAGTTTCATGAGAGTCTATGGGTAAGACATAGAGGAATTTGGGCTACTTTTGCTAAAATGAAGGAACGATATTGGTGGAAGAATATGTATCAAGATGTAACTTTTTTTGTAGAATCTTGTGTAACTTGTTAGATGTATTCAAATATACGACATCAAGATGGATTGCATCTCACATATCTTTTGGCTATTTATTTTAAATGGGTTGTAGATTTAGTTATTATGTCGATGGGACTATGACAAATGAGATATTTAGTTTTGGCTCGAGAAAATTTATCAAACCAAGTAGAAGGCAGGGCACTAAGAACAAAGTCCACAGAGGGAATTTGCAAGATTTTACTTGAGGAAGTTATCTGTCGCTATGGATGTGTGGAAAAGATCACTACAGATTGAGGAGAATTGGATGCATATGAAGCTCGTGATTTATTTAAGAGATGTGGAATCAAATTATCATTGACTAGTGCTTATAATCTAGAGGAGAATGCAAAGAGTAAACGTGGGCATCCACCAATTGTAAAAGCCTTAGTTAAAGCTTGCAATGGAAGAGTGAGAGAATGGCCTCGACTTCTATCTTATGCATTATGGGCTAATTGAACAATACATAGTTTGGTGACAGGATATATGCTAGTGGAACTTATGACAAGTCAAAAACCAATTATGTCAATTGAAAAAAATGTGCCAACGTGGAGTATGCTACCATGGGAAGATGGGTTGACAAGAAAGGAATTGTTAGCCATTAGAATCCGACAACTTGAACAAAGATCGAAAGATGTGGAACTAACATTAAAAGAGTTATAAATAGCAAGGTTAAGAAATAAGACTCGATTTGATAAGCAACATCGATTGAAGCCTAAAGCAATTGAAGAAGGTGATTAGATACTTGTTTATGATAGCAGTCTGGATAACCAACATAGTACTTTGCAAAAGTTTTTGAAACATTGGTTTGGACCATATGTGGTAGTAACGATTCATGATAATGCCACATATTCATTAAGGGAGTTAAATGGTACAAGGTTGAAAATACCTATTGCTGGAAAGCAAGTAAAGATTTTTAAAAGACAAGATAGAGAAATTAATATGGAAGTTCATGCCGAAGATATTGGCATTTTTTAAGAAGATAATTGTTTTGAAGAGGATGGTAAAAATAGAAATAAAGGATTTAATGAAGAAAATGAAGAGATGGCATGATGCCAATTACGATATATGGTTCATTTGGCGCATGCCGGAAGATGCGAAGTTTGAGAGGAGGTGGATGTCGTGATGTAATACGACTATATAGTGAAATTGTAATCAAAGTTGAATTTCTAATTAATATCTAATTATCTTAATTCAATTATAATTTGAGATATCTAAACACGGCTTTTATAAAAGCCTTTTAAGTTATTTCTTTATCTTAATAATTAGTAGGTTGAAGGTTACTTAATAATTTTACCTTCTTAGTTGTAGAGACTCTTCTACTACCTTAGAAAGACCATAAATCAAATAAATCAAATTAGAAGAGGTAAATAATTAGTATAGTTGGTACTAGGATTAAGTTGAGAGTAGGATTGGGCTAAAAATACCTTAGGATATGTTAAATTGATACCCAAGGGTCGACCATTTGTGAGACACGGTTGAAATCAAACCTCTGGCCACTAAAACGACAGCTTAGGGCAAAATAGAGTTTCATTTGAAGATCGAAGGTTAGGATTTGAGAGCTAGCTTGAAGTTCTTTTCAAAGACATAAGAATTGTTTTGAGAAGGATTTGGAGGAGTTAGCAATTTAAATTCAAAGTCAAGGTTTATATTAGTGATTTGGATATTATATAATATAATTAGGACTAGCAATTTTGACTAGTTCGTGCAATTTGTGTGACATCTACAATTAAAAACTTGATATTGTTTGGATTATTGGGTGTGCTAAGTATATGCAAAATTTTGTAATAATCTAACGGCGTGGTTTAGAGATATCTAGTTTTTAGCACAAGAAGGTTTCAGAAGGTGGCAGTTTGAGGTTGGATAGGATTTCTATGATATCTGAAGATCTATCAGTTGGATTAAAGAGAAAATTGGCATGGTATTGCAAGACTTAAAGATCAAGCTACACACCAATTTTGAAACAAAGTTAACGGTTAGAAAGGGAGAAATCATTGCTAGGATTTTTGCTTCACTTTTCAAGTTGACAGCCGAGTGACATTGGTGCAATTTTTGGAGGTTTTATTACAATCTGTAAGTTGGATTGGGCTAAAAATTCTTGAGCATATTGAAGACTTACATTGACAATTGCATGCTAAATTCTACATCAAGTGGACGGTCGGATTAGATGTTACAGCTTGTTAAAGTTCATTGATTAGGATTGGGGCTTATAAGAAAAATCTAAATTGCTTAAATATAAAAGTAATAAGGTAATTGGAATTTATGTATGGTTAAGACTATTAAGAAGAGTGTTTTAAGCACTTTTGAATTGAAATTCAGATTATATTCTTCTTGTATGGATAAAATCTATTAGGATTTCTTAACTACTTATAAAACACAATCTCACCTTCCACAACTAGGTGTCTGGTGTATTCCTGAGCAAAACAACACACAATACGACAACGTATTGACGAGCACCATAGCTTTAATGGACTCTTATATAAGTCATATAATTTTTGATTCTTCTATAACAAAAATAGATCAAGAATTGGTTCAAATGTGAGAGAGTTCTTATGGTTGACGAAACAGATTACACAATGTAATAGAATTTGATTTTATTGATGAATCTTCAATTATTTAATAAATTTGTAAATTGAAGCTAATAATAATTTTAAGATTTGTAGGTTTAACAAAAAAGAGGCTCTCATTTCATCAAGGCATTGTAGAGTTGTATCAATTATATTCAATTTTGACTTTCTTACATTTGTAATTTTGTTTCTTGTATATAAAATTGTTAAGTTGCTTTCAATTGAGAATTAAAAAAATTGGAATGTCTCTGAAGAACTAGAGAGTCTCCCAGCTATACAATAAGCTTGTATTTGAGTTAGTGCAAGGAGGGGCAACACAAACCTGTGGTGATGGTTGTCACTATTTCTCACTATGGTGATTCTTTTTTTAAGTGACTATTGCACTGTAGTGCACATGACTACAACTATTTGCTAAAGATATTTTTAGATATGTAAAATAATGACAACAAGAGCTATAAAGTATCCATAGCTTCTTTATAACAAAGCCTCAATTAATCTTAAGGAATTTTTCACAACAATGAATTCTTTTCACAACCTAGTGAAGGATTAGGATTAGAGCTTTGTAGGTTGTCATTGCCAATATAGAGATCAATGATTTCTATGAAGAGATCCTCCACTTCTTACATTCTCCGCTCTTCTAAGAGAAAAAACTCAAATGATACCCCACTTGATTAATTCTCCACTAACATTCTTCCCAAAGTTCTAACAAGAGTGCCAAAAAAGTATTGGCATAGAAATCTTGTTCATTGCTTGGGAAACCAATAAAGAGGTGGAGAACTTTATTTCCAAGGTAGATGTAATAATGCAAACCTCTCTCTTATCAGTCTTATATAGAGATGAAAGTTAAAAGTGTGAAATGTAGATCTTCAAGCTTAGATTTCCAAGATGATGACAAGATTCAATTTAGGGACTTCTACGCAATCTTCAAGTTTTGTTTGGAATTCACAAAGATAACATCCAATCATAGTCTTTTGGATGGTGGTTGCACTTATAATCCAACATAAGTACATATTTGTAAGTTGAACAGAATATTCATGTAGTTCAAAGTTAAATGCCAAAGATAACATTTGAGAACATATTCATCACCTACAACTACACACCATTGCTTGATGTTTTTTTGTTTGTGTGTATAAGACAATGGAAATCCTCAAATGAATCTATGTTCTACTTCTACTATGAGTGAATTAGAAAATACCACATCCTTGATTTTATGGAATTCTACCTATTGGCATTCAAAGACAAACTTCACCTTCAATGGAACATATCTTATTTTTATTACTCCAAGGTTGAGAAATTAAATCAATAGTCATACTTGAGATTATTAATTATGGTTTTTTTGCAATACTTTGTAGAGTTTTATAACTTTTGTTGCTTACCTATTAAAGCTATACTAAGATTTTCCATATTTTGTTTGTATTTGATTTGAATGTAGAAACCCCCAACCAAATGTCTATTCTTTTCAAAAGTTAGCTCCAATGTCAATCTAGTACATGACTCTTTTGCTCAAAAGAACCATCTCTTGAAACTGCAAAAATTATTCAACTTAGAGTGAAATGAAGAGTAGACTGAAACATAGGCTGCAAATTCTTGTAATTAGCTTCTTTGATCATGCTTGTTGCTATTGTGTTCATAGATTGCATCTCGATTTATTACTGAAACCTTGGTTTCATAACTCCGTCTCAAATCTAAGAAGGAGATGACGATCAAGTTCAACCCAGTTTACCAAAAACTCTTAAGTAGTGCACCACGAAGATGCAGTGGGTCTAAGCAAAACATAATCATAGCTCTGCTTATCAGCAGAGCTTGTCTCTCTGCTCACTTCTGCAACCTCGCTCTGCCTCGCAACTAATCCGCTACTTCAAAGGAGCAGGTAAGATGCCGATGTTAGGTAGGACTAAGCATTTATAACAATGCCTACTTTTAACAGCGTGAATGTGTCACTTCTTGCTAGTCAGTATCTACAGATGTTGCCACAAAACTTATTGTCCCAACAGAAGGTAGCAACATTGATAACCTTCACAACTTGGCGCGCATAAACATGGGAGCAGTCTCGGACGTGGGAAGACCTGCATCGTCTTCGCCCGCCGCCTCTGAATTTGACAACATGTCCTTTTCCATGTCTTCAACAACCTGCAAGCAGTCAAATCGAGATTAGCTTCGTCCTCTTTCAAGTAAGCACTGCCTATTCTCCTACGATTACGCTAATAAGTCAGGTCGCTTCCCCTGCTGCAAAGATGTGAATCGCAAACCTTGCGTGCTTCGGTGGCGCTTGATGAGGAGAGAGAGGAAGGCAGGATGTCAAGTATGCTTTGCTTCGTGCGTTGAACGGCGTCTCTGGTAGTAGTGTACGCGCCCTTGAGGCCTGTCTCAAACGTCTTGCGCACACCTTCAAGAGATTCCGATGGCAGTTGCATCAAAGACAATTTCTCCATGACGCGGGCACGAGCAGTCACAAAAGATTCTCCGACCTCGTTTGCCATCCCCTTGCTGACCTCCACCAAGCCCGACCGACTGACAGCGCTTCCGCCCTCTTCTCCTCGTCGCTCATGCTCGTCGGCACCAGCTGCCGTTTTATCTACAATCGCACAGTTGCTCATTAACACCACACTTCATCGCTTCACTCCAATCAGACACTGCGAAACCATTTGCAGAATCATATCTCACGCTCAAAACGCATTACTATGTGCGGATAACACGCTTCGTTGTAAAATTTACCAAAAGCATTAAGACTAGAAATAAACGACAACACTGTCCAATTTGATGGTGTCAGATTATAGTTAAGATATCTTGCACAATTACAACCATCACTTGTTCAAACTCCATCGAGAATATCCTCCAAGCACAAGAGAAAAACCCCTTTACAAATGACCAGTTATGAGCAAAAACTGTCAAAATCAAATAACTGTTCGGACAATTTATCGCAGATATCAATATATTAAAAAAATTCAGAGGCAATCTGAATTACAGAAATGCAATCGGAAATGAAAGAGCAATGAATGCTAGGTTGAGGCAAGCGGGAGAGTACTCGGCATGTGCTGTGATGAATTGTGTTGGTCCGATGTTGAAGTACCTCCTCCAGCTGCCGGAGAGTACAAGTCGTTCATTTCCGCACCCTCTCTGTTTCCATCCAAATCAGAGCTCGGCACTTGTCCATTAGAATTCTGTTTCGGCACAGCCCCGCCAGAAACATCAGCTTGAGGAGAATACAGGTCGTTCATTTCAGCACCTTCTCTGGGCCCATCCAACTCGGAGATTATCAGCCCACCCTTCGGATTGCCCTCTCGTCCAGTTCCTTCCTCTTTCATCTCAGGTCCTGTCAACTTATCGCTGCTGGAGCTTCGGTAAAAGCTCATGAAATTCCCAGGGGTCTTCACACCGCCACTGCTTTGAGACGACGGCTCTTGATCAGCCACGAAATCCACCGGATCCTTCTCTCCAGCCATAAATGGGGCTTGAGCTTTAGGTTGATCCATAACCGCAAAAACCCTTCAGAAAACCAAACCCCGCCCCCAGCAAGTGTGTAACAAAATCACGGTCCGAATTTCTCACTTCTCCAACAATCCTGAATAGCGAACAATCCTTTGTAGCTGCTGTACAATATAATCGACCATAAACCTCAATGGCAAGCGGAAATCAACATTCCCAGACCGAGAAATGGTGTCAGGATTCACTGATTCAACCACAGAAGAAGAAGAAGAAGAAGAAGAGAGAAGAAGAAGCGAGAGGGGCGGGGTTTCAGTGCAAGGAAACCAGGCGCTTCACGTAGTGGGTAAGGGCCCTCCAGGGGGGCCAAGTGGAGGGAAGCCGACATGCATGGGCGTGGGATTGGTGCCCCATGACCACGCTCTCTCAGTCCCCCTCTGTTCTGACGTCACTCCCTAAGGTGGCTGGAGCTTTTGGATGAAAATGGATGGATGCAACCGAATCGGTGGATGAGTTGCTGGATGAATGAATGGATGGATATTGGATGGTTTGGATTTGGACCTTCGACGCCTTCTCGTTCGTTGCTTATGTGTTTGTCAATGTATAAATAAAATAAAACTCTGAAGGTTGAGAGGATTAATAGCGTTTTATTATTATTACTATATATATGTATTCTATTTTATAGAAACTTCTCTTGTTTTTTGTGATGAGTATGTGGCGTAATACAACATCTTTATTTTGAATTAATTCAAATAAATTGAAAATTCTAGTGTCTTTAGTTGTGCCTTGCAATAATCTGTTTTAAAGGCGATTATTATTTTCCTTTTACACACTTTTCTTTTTGTTTTTACATACAGCTTCACATTGATTTTTTTCTCCGTGTATATCCTTTTTGGAAATTTTTGAGGTTCTTAACTCCACTTTTTTTGTTGTATTCTTTGATATCATCCTAAATATAATTTCTAAAATTGAAATCCCCTCAATTTCCTTCTTTCTATCAATTCTACTGCATTCTATTACACAAACAAGTTGTTTCTTTCGTGTTGTTTTAACATGTCCAGTTTAATACTTATTCTCATCAATCTAATATTTTGTTTCTGTCAACGTGAAATCCATTTTTATTTATTAATTCAGTAGTGTTTCCTTAGTTTTTACATATTGGTAGCTTTTACAAAGTAACGTTGATAGAGTGGGTTGACTGTTTCATGAATAATTCTAACCTTTTGAAAACAATTATATTCTCAAATGAATATTTTTTTTCTGCATCAATTAACTTAAGAAATTCTCACTATAAAACTTTGCTCACACGTGGGAGATATTAAATGGGAACTTGCAACCAATGGTTTTTGTAGCAAATATTTAAAAAAGTTTTTAGAAATGTTTTTGTTTTATTTTTATATGATTAATTATTAAGATTAAATATATAAAATAATGTTACAATTTTTTTTCTAACTTAATACTCACATAACATTCTCAAATTCTCATGTCATTCAAGGTGATTATTTTATATTTCTTGATTTTCATTTATTTCTCATGATATTAACTTTCACCTAAAAAAATTATTTCATGTTGTGATAAAAGGCATTTTTTATGCTTATTTGTAAATTGTAAAGATCATAATTTTGAAAAAAGAATAGATACTGAAATAATTGTTTTGCAATTCAACCATTCTTTTTTGCTTTTTATAAAATCATCTCTAGGCAAATTCATACTCCTCAAATACATAGTTCATTTGAAATTAAAGGTTCCATATGAGGACCAAAAATATCTTATCTATATAATAAAAATAAAGAAGCTTAGGTATAATATAAAGAGACAAAGAAGCCTTCTGATTGGCGGAAATTGTTGCTATAACTTTACCAAAAAGCCAATGAGAAGGCTTCTTTGACCTCCATATTACTATTTGGAAACTGTTTTTTTGTGCGCAACAGCACATATTTCTGATAGTATATATATATATATATATAGTTACGATATTTTAATGTATGATAAAAAGTAGAGATTCAATTTTTTGCATGAATTCACTACTCATGGCTTGATGCAAAGGGCAAAGATGATGACATGCATAATTATGTTGTAGAATGTCTGAAGGTTTTTGAAATTGGCACATTCAATATCTATATATATATATATATATATATATATATATTCTCTTTTTGTGAAGATCACAATTCTATTTTGAAAAGAATCAACATTGGTAGACATAGAATAATGCATAAAGCAAGACAAGTGGTATTGTTCAATACATTATATAATGCTTAAATATTTAACTTCCAAATATATGTTAAATATTCAAAGTTTGGTTTAAAATGTTGACTTAGTTTTTTATAACAAGCATGCATTGGAACTTTTACCAAAATAAAATTATATTTTAGATCATGTATATGACTACTTAAATTACTAAAAGTATATACTAAAAGTATATTTTAGATCATGTATATGACTACTTAAATTACTAAAAGTATGATTTGATGACAACCAAGAGATTTGACTATACTAAAAAATAAAAGAAAATTTTGAAATATTACTATACATATTTGGTAGATGAAAACCTGTGAATAATATAATAAAAAAAATATGTATTTATAAATTAATTGTATTCCAATACTTTCAAGCTTATATGTTTCAAAGAAAAAAAACATGAAAATTAAAAATTAAAAATTAAAAAATTTGATAAAAACACACATCTTGATATTTATTTTAGAATTTATTTAGAGCTCAGCGACCCCTTCAGAAAGGACCCAGCTGGACCGCACTCATACTCATCCCCGCTTGCCACCACAGAGCAGCCCCGTTCACACCTACCGGGGGGGGGGGGGTTGGGGGGGATGAGCCCCGGGCGTGGGTCCCCGTTGCCCATAGCTCATGTGGTCTCTCTCTTCCTCTCTTGCTCACTTTCTCTCTTTGTCTCTGTCTCGCTGTGCATTGTTTTCGCAATCAATTCCCTGGTCAGCTCCGCTTTCGTTTCCTCGCACACACCCACACACATTCTTGTGGAGGAGGGTGGCCATATTGAATCATCCCCACGCAGACAGACACACAGACCGACAGACAGACGGACGGACGGAGTGCCGCAGTGTCGGACTGGCTGACTCTTCACCTCTCAGGGACAGTGGGACGGAGCGCTGAAGGAAGGCAGAGAGGAGAGGAGAGGAGAAGAGAAGAGGAGAGGAGAGAGAATAGGGGAGGAAGGAAACAGCCTCCCCCTCTTCCCCCCCGGGCTAGGAGGCGGAGGAGGAGGAGGAAGAAGAGGAGAGTAGTAACAGCAATAGCAGCTCTGGAGCCATGTTTTTGTTCGATTGGTTTTACAGCGTGCTTGCGACCTTAGGGCTATGGCAGAAGGAGGCGAAAATCCTGTTCCTCGGCTTGGATAACGCGGGCAAGACCACGTTGCTACACATGCTCAAGGATGAGGTAAGGGCTGGCTTACCAGCTAGAAGGAAGAAAGGAAGGAAGGAAGGAGGGCAGGGAATTTATAAACGGCTTGAGATAGTTTCGTGTGCTGTGTTGTTTCTTTTGTCTGCCGCGGTTGACGGCGTGAAGTGTTTGGTGGTGAGGGTGGTTGTGGACAGTGGAGTTGTGATAGTGAGTCTTGATAAGCAGGGTGTGTGTGTGTGTGTGTGTGTGGGTGTTTATTGAGAAGATCCGGGTGATGGAGAAGGGTGTAACCGAGTGTGGAGCGGAGTTGCGTTGTTCTAGGTTTTTTGGTAGCTGGTTGGTTTCTTTCTGCGTGTTGTGTCCTTACGTGGAGTTCCGAAGGGGGGATGGATAGTGTGTGTGAAGTGAGCAACAAAGGCTTTGGATGGTTCGTGCCTGGGGGTAGCGATCTGTTAGTAAGGAAGTGCGATGAATGGAGCGGTTGGTGAGTGATGCAATGCCGTGAAACCGGTTGTTTTTCCTGTCACTAAATTGCATCCTACTATGGTGATACAGAGGTTGGCCCAGCATCAACCGACGCAATATCCTACATCGGAGGAGTTGAGCATTGGAAAAATTAAGTTCAAAGCGTTTGACCTGGGTGGTCACCAGATCGCCAGACGAGTGTGGAAGGATTACTATGCCAAGGTTACCACTCCCCTTTTGGACTCTTTATTTTGTAAGTTAGCAGTGTGATGGAGTGGACGGTCTTGTTCGGCCCCTCATGTACAGAGGTGGATATTATTATTGTCTGGATGCATAAAGTGTCTATCCTCAGTGGTCTTGAGAGGCTTCCGTCGAGATGTGTTTTTCTTGTAAATAGATATTTAGCAGCTATTTGCGTGCTACATGTTTGTCACAGACATGGTTAACGAGGTGCTGTGTTATGGCGTGTTAACAAAATAAATCAAGTATGTTTCATGGTTGCAAGTGGTATTGACCAAAACATTATCGCCTTTCTGAGTTAGGGTTTGGATGGTTAACTCTCGATTATTTAGGTTGTTTAGGTTATTTGGCATTTGTGAAACCCGCACTGGAACGTTACGCTTCCTTCACGAAAACTGTCCCAGGGTTTGATTTTGATTCTGTGTTCAAGTATAAAAAGACAGAAAAAAGAAAAACTTTAGTTATCCTGAAATATTGATAGTGTTGGTTGTGTGTTATGGTGGTTGTTGACTCTGTAACTGATGTGTTTATTATACAGGTTGACGGCATCGTTTACTTGGTGGATGCAGCGGACAAAGAGAGGTTTTCAGAGTCAAAGAAGGAACTGGATGCCCTGTTATCAGACGATTCGCTGGGCCAGGTGCCTTTCTTGGTTCTTGGGAACAAGATTGACATCCCATATGCTGTTTCGGAAGATGAGTTGCGGTATTCATTGGGACTAAGTAATTTCACCACAGGCAAGGGCAAGGTGAATCTGGGAGACACCAACATGCGACCCATTGAAGTTTTCATGTGCAGTATTGTAAGGAAGATGGGGTATGGCGAGGGCATCAAGTGGATGTCACAGTATATCAAGTAGGTTCTGATACAGGTGGCAAGGCCTGGAGCGTGAAAGGTCTCAAGGGTTTATGATAGCAGGTTGCAGGTCGGTGGAATTATACAGAGTTTTCGTTTTGACGTGTGAAGTGTAGGGTGGGAATCGAAATGATAACTTCTATCAGATTGTAGACGTCACATATTACTTAAGATTGTGCTTCATAGATGTTACTCTGTCAGTGTTGTTGGCATGGCCACAACATGCTCTGGGTGGCTGCTTCTGAGATATGCCTTTTGAAGTCAGGAGTTTTTTTTTTTTTTTTTTTTTTTTTTTTTAGCACATGGGAGGCAAATTTCCGAAAAGCTGCTAGGCGCATGCTGTGGCGCCTTGGAGAAAAACAGATCGAGCTCCTTAAGTTTGTTTAGTAACGGACCTTGATTGGAGTTTAGTCTACCTTCATCACCGGAGAGTGGTGAGGTTGTTGACCTGCATTAGGTTGCTAGTAGGCGCGGCAACAGTGGAGACAGGTTCGAACATCTGTTAGGCCATTTGGTCGTGTTATAAACCATTCTGTAAAATCTATTGTCAGTTAGACACTGACTCATCTGGACAATCTTGTGCCACCAAATAAACCTTGATGTCAACAATTATGGCTAACATTGCCATCAATGTTAAGTGGGTGTCGCTACGCTGGTGTCTGTCATTACATGCTACTACCTGGTAATGAATTACTGGTCTCTTTCGGTTTGCGAGTGACTCATGTTTCGTGTTCATTCGGTGTATTAATTACCTCATCAATTCATTATCATCACCATGTTGCCTGAGTGACGCCCTTTCCACATGTCCCAAGATATTTCTGTTTGTGTGCCCCGCATATGCCGCAGAGTGACAGCAACTCGTTGCAAGGGGGAGCTGGAGTGTCTGATTTTTCCAGACGCCTCATCGGCAATGCTGTGGCATGTTGGGGAATCACGCACCAAGGTGTGTTTCTTCCAAGCGTCTCTTGCCTGGTCTGACAGGCGTGTACGCGTGTTTACACTTCGACCAACCTGCACCTTGGTGACCCTCCAGGTCGGTGTAACCATGCCCTACCTCTGACCGAATCACGCTTCCCTTGCTTGCATTTCACCGTGCTACCAACCTCTTGACGTGATTTGCTTGCTGTGGCATTGTAGTTATACTCAGCACACCCATCAGCTGTTTGAGTATTCAGACCCAACCTCAATGGTGAATGTACCCACTTTTGTAAACAAGTCTAGAGTGCTTTCAACTCCTACATTTGCTTACGACAAAGTTGGGAAATAAGCCAAGAAATTCAACCTTACAGACTAAATTAAACCACAATGGTTTCAATTTGACAAGATAGTGCAACAAACTAAATTTTGCTCCATTATTGTTTCAATTTGACATGATAGTGCAACAGCTCTTGTTCCTATTTGTCACTTGCTTAATGGCTACTTTGAAATGAATGCCATGATGTCCAAAGGGAATCTAGTCTATCAAAATAAAACCTAAAAAAAGTGGTTGGATGGTAGCAAAATTTTCTATCTAAAGTTGGGATCCTTTTGTGCAAGGGTGGGTTTGGCAAGAGCCCTAATTACTTGGACTTTCTAGAAAAGTTGGTGGATGAAAGATTTAAACTTAAAAAACCACATTGAAGTAGAGTATAGGTATACATCCTACAATAGAACATGATGGCATAATTATCAATAACTTCTAACCAAAATATGCATGGATTATTTTTAAAAAACATATATAAATTAGAAATATGCAAGGATGGCTATTACATTTGATAATAAAACTTTGACTTTGATAATCCATGATTAAATTTATGATTGTTACAAAAAGTAACAATTAGAAGCTTCTTTTAATTTGAAAGATCTTAAGTTAGTGAGACCAAGATCAAATTGAGCCCAAGTATTAGAGAATAGAAAAGTAGAAGAAGTCCTTGAGTAGAGACTAATATTAATGCTAATCATTTGTTGGTGGCCCAAGCCCAAGAAGAATGATTTGTAAGACTTGGGCCACAAATAAGTGATTCTTCTTTCTTTTCTTTAATGATTTCCTTTACATTTGTGAAATGATCTTTGTAACTATCTTCCTTGCAAATACATTGATATAACATAAGAATAAAATTTAGCTAAGACCTTATCTATAAATATATTTTTTTTATTTTGAAATAAATAATTATTTTTTATTATATTTTTTTAATAATATCCATATTCTAGAAACATTGTTAGAAGAATTTATAAATGTATATAATAAAGAAGAAAAAATTCCTACCACATTCTAAGTACTAAAAAAAATTAATTGATATGTTTTTATAAATATCATATATATTTATAGTTTTTTATTAATATATTTAATTTATCCATTACTATGAAATAATTTAATATTAAAAAACTTAACTTTATATATATATATATATATTTTTTTTTTTTTTATTTTATTTTTTTATTAAAAAAATCTTGATAAGCATTAAAGATAAAAAAAAGAACTAAGCCACACTAAATATATGTTAGGTTTTATTTTTTGACACTTTTAATAATTTTTTAGTTTTTTTGATAAATATTATAATATTTTTTTAAAATTTAAAATCTTTTAAATAATAATAAAAGATTATATTATATTTTTAGTGTTTATAGATTTTATGTTTATTTTTATTTATAATAAATAAAATTAGATCTTCCATTGTTGACATATAGTTTTTATAAAAACAATCAATTGGTGTACTACATATAAAGGAGTATAATTAATTAACTATTACTTTTTTCATGATTTAATTAAATTTTTTTATAAGTTATTTTATATTCTTTATAAAGATATAAAATTAAGTAATTTAAAAATAAAATAAATTTATTTTATAATATAAAAATTTATTTTATAATATAAAAATATCATGCTAATAATATTGTAGTTAATTTGAAACTAGTTAAAATAATTTTATATTATTGTGGTAAAATATTTTTTTAGAATATATATATATATATATATATATATATATATATATATATATATATATATCTTTTCTTACTTCTAATCATTGATAATTCAAAAAGATTTTATTTATTTATTTATTTTAGTCTACTCTTTATAATTTAAAATAAACATGTCATGTTCTTTCTTAAACATTAGTAGATTCTTCTTCTGATAAATACATTATTTATTTATGTGCATATATATATATGAATTAGATAGAAAATATTTAAAAGAAAAACATTAAAAAAAAAATTAACATACAAATTAAAACTATAGATGATCTATATAACTATAATAACCTCATCAAGAATTTTTCTTTTCTTAAGAAAAAATATTATTAGTTGGAAACCTGATGTGCAAACCCTACAATCTTTAAAAAACTTTGACATGGAGTTCTTTGTAGGTAGTGTATATAGAGACAAAATAGATGCTATTTTTAGTCTTTTAAATTTTTTCTTAAATTTCACTCTTGCTTCAAGGCTTTCTATTTTATTGTTTTAGCAATAATTATCTTAATATCTCCCTAATTTTTAAATACACATTTTTTTTTTCTTATTTATAATAATACATGAGAATATTATTTCAAATCGTCCACCCAAGTAGTAAACTTAGATTATCGTTTGCCTAAATTAATGCACTTTAACAAATAGTTTATTTGTTGGGTAGATAAATTCTTTTGAGATCTTTATTATTTATTACTTTTTTAAAATTTAATCAATCTCATATAATTCTTGACTATTTTGTGAAATGAAAAAATAACAAACATTTTTGTGCACTTTAAAGGTCTTTTCAGAATCAGAGAATTTGTATCACCAAGAATATCAATGAGTTGAATTTGACTTTCTCCAAAGCTAATAAGTGTTGTTAGTTGACACTCTTTTCCGACAAATTAGACAATGAGTTTGCATTCTTAACAACGTCACAAATGTGCATTATACAGGAATTCACAAATAAGAAATGATCTAATTTTTCTTCAAACTCTGTTTTTTAAACTCTTTAATTGCTATTTAACATACTATTTTCAAATGGGACTTACTGTGAACAACTATAGTCATTTCAAGTTGTTCAAACTTGCTCATTTCCGTTTTAATTAATTTTGGTACATGCATAAATTATTGTTTCTTTTTAATTTTCCAAGCATCCCATGAACTAAATTGCTAATTTTATTTTTAAAGAAGAAAATACATCAATAAATTGACAGTATAAACAATCAAAAAGTTGTTCACAAGGACTATAAACAGCAATAAACTCTCATGCAACTCAAATGACATCACCAAAACTTACATGAACTTCACTTGCTACAGCTCCCCAACTTGATGTCACACACAAAATAAGTTCCAAGTTAACAGAAAAAACACTTGAAAAAACAAAAGCTTTTCACATCGCCACAGATAGAAAAAGAACAGAAAAAACCCAAAAGCGAGTGTGAAAGTCATGGTGAGGCCCTGAGACAAATGGGGGAAAAATAGTATTCGTAAGGCAAAAGCCAGTTCTACGGGAAAAGAGAAACCTACAGAGAAAAGAGCCTCGGATCCACAGACTGTAAAGATCTGTGAACGGATGATTGTGAGGATGGTAAGATGGAACAAGTTTCATGTGGATGGAATGTTCATGCTTTAATTTTTTATTTTTTATTTTTTCTCTTTTTCCTTCCGCCTTTTGAACCAAAAAAACTTACCCAGTTTCTGCAGTGATCACAGTGACAGGCTTTGAGACTAATGGGCTCATCATTTTGCTGTTAGTGTTGCTGCCACCATGTTTTTTTCTGTATATGATCAGTATTTGAAGGACACAAGGACACGCCAGGACATCCATTTCAGGCTTCATCTCCGAGTATTCGACTTCTGTTGCATTCGGAGAGGTTGTATTCGGTTTTGGAAAAAGCTGGAATCTGAGTTTATGGAGAGTGTCAGAGTGTGACTTTTTGCAATGTTTTTGCTGCAATGGTGTTCTGAGACAAGCAGTTGCATGGTCAGTTCTCATGGCAGATGGGTAGTTGATCAGCAAGCAGTGGCAGGATTGTTGTTGCTCCCCCACGTCAGTTTTGTTTCTGTGTAGACTCAACCTCTGGAATCCAGATCTGTTGCGGGAGGTTGCTGACTGCATCTGTTGCATGTGGGTGAGCTGGGCGGTTTGGCGTGCAAGCAGCTTCTGGTGGGTGCAAGGTTGTGTGTCTGGAGCAAATTGGACTAAGTTTGTGAATATGGGGAGGAAACAGAAGGTGGTTGAATAATTCAGAGTCGTTTCAGGAATATTTAGTTTTGGTTCAGGGGGAGGATCGTTGCAGTGTTTGGTGAGGTGTTGGTGACAAGGAAGCGTGAGTTTGACAGAACAAGAATGCGGTGGAGGTATTATTCATCTTTTTGAGTAGCTACCGTTCTCGGTTGTGGAGAATACCGCGCTGAGCTCATCATTAGGTGATTGCTTCAGGTTGACACTCTTGTGGAGCCTGCAACCATCTATCTGAATTTTTGGGAGGTTTTTTTGCGGAGGGAGGGACTGAGCAGCTTGAAGAGGACGCAGGGTTTTTGTTTAGAAGTTCATTCGAAGAATCAAAGAAGGAAGCGGATGCGTGAATGGTGCTTTTGGGGGTATTTGGAATGGGTCACTTCCTCCGAACTGTCTCGGTGAGAAATGAAGTGTCGTCCTATTCAGAGCCATGGTGGTGGCTTTGGCTTAGTGTTTCTGTATGTCTG